AGGTGCAGGGAAAGCCCTGCTTCTCTGTGCACTGCTGCCTCAGCTTGCAGGACTCCAAATTAGGTGGCAACTGCAGGTGCTGTTCAAGAAGCAGGTTCAGAAACTGGCAGGGAGCAGCACCCTGCAGGTCCTTTCCTCCCAGCCATCCTCCTCTCCTGGGACAGGGGCTCTTCTCCCACCGTGGAGTAGAATTTAACGCTTGCAAGGGACAGTTCTGCTGCACTGCTGCAAATGCTGTTGTGGCCAGGGCCCTCCTGCCCCCTCAGAGGTTCTGCCTTCTCCAGGAACAGGAGAGGCCTGTCCCTGACACCGCTGGATCTGTTATTCAGGACCAATGCCCATTTGCTCTTGCACCTTCTGTCATGGAAATGATGCCGCAGCCTCGCCTGGCTTCCAGCAGAGCAATGGTCGGAGCAGAGTCAATGCTGTGCCAGAGCAGGGAGAGGTTTCTCCTGGAATCAGTAATGTGTGCAAGGAGCTGGTGTCACCAAAGCCCATTCAACACCCTGCTCCCCTCTTTGCCATTGCCTGTGAATTGAATAAAGCAGCTGTGACTCATCTGCTCGTGGCGCTGGAGCTGACACATGCCAGCGTGCAGGCTGTAACCTCACCGGAGGCTTTTGTACCATCTGTATTTGCAACACGAATATTTCAGCCGGTGTGACATTTTGGAGACTGGTGTGTTGTATGTGGGTCAGTAATGTACTGCTCGGGCGCTGAGCAGCGCGGGCCACGGCCGCCGGCTTTGGTGGCTCATTGAGCCCACACGGCTCTGAAGCAACAGAAAAACAGGTTTTGATCTCTTGCTGCTGGCCTCTGCCTGAACAGCATAAAGCAGGAGGCGAATCCAGGGCAGCTTTTCTGCCAGTGTCACTGTAATATGGATGGTGTTTACCGTCACTTAGGAGATGAAGAGAGCAATACGTGGGGCTGGATGGGACAAGGCGTTTCTCCTTCAGTGCACTGTCACAGCAATGGCCTTTGTCCTGCTGAGAACAGGCACAGGTCATCACACCTGTGTGACATGCAGAGCTCCTGGGAAGCTCCAGCCAGAAGTGAAGGCAATAACTGTCCTAATGGCAATGCCAACCTCAGAGTCAGGAGCTGGGGCTTCTGCATAAACAGTTGGCCATGGTGGATTTAGGCTATCCCATGAAGACCCCATTTCTGAGCTTGTACCCCCATCTCTGGCCATAAGAAATTGAAATTTCTCAGCTGTAGGATTGATTGGACCGGTTTCTGCCCTTGCCCAAGAGTGTTGTGATGCCCTTGGGCCAGTGACCTTCTGTTTGGGGACAGCCAGGTGAGAATGGGGAAAATCTTGCTGTGCCTGATGACCCTTTGTTAAGAATGTGGGGATTGCAGTTTTTCTGGTCCCCAGTGATACAGTAATTGTCCAGTTATGACCGATTTTGGCATCGTAATCCACACCAGGTCCTGTCAGATGGATGGGAAGCTTGCTGGGGTGCTAATATGCACAAGCTGCAGTAGCCAAGGAGCCAAACAGGAGTGTCTGAAGATGCCAGCTGGCCTGGGAATTGCCATGGAGGGAGTCAATGTGCTCTTGAAGCAGGGGATGGGGCCCCTGGCATTCCCTGGTACTGATGCACAGAGGGACAGCTTGGGGCTAGATAGGGGTGCAAAATCCCTGGCTGTTGCAGTTTAACCAGTGTGTGAATTACTTCTTTTGCTTTAAGAGGAACAAGGGGTGCTGCCAGTGGCCCTGCTTTCAGGAGCTGGAAGACCAGAGATGAGTTCTTGCATAGCTGAATGGAGAAGGGGCTGCACCTAAACAAAGTCTCATAGAGGCAGCTGAACTGTGACAAACTTCCCAGTACCACTGCCAAATGGTCACCTATTAACTGATTCCGTGGAATTCCTTTGTGCAAACACCCAGCACTGGAATGCTGTCGGCTGCCAGCGGGTTCCTGGAACAGCAGCTTTGCAGCCCTGGCAGCCGTGCCCATGGGTTTTCTCTGCACACGTCCACAGGGAAGGCCATGGACAGGCAGTAAGAAGCAGGTGGCTGGGTGCTGCAGGGACAGCACCCACCCCGAGTGTGAGAAAGCAAAGCAAGCAGTAGCATTTCATCAGAGGAGGCCTGAAAAGAAAACATTATTTCCTCAAATGTGTTCATCATTCAAAATTGTTCAAGCAAAGTTTCCATCGTGCTGTGGCCATTACTCATAATCTGAGGATCTGGATGCCTGGCTCTCCTTGGTAATTAGCCACACGGCGTTCTCTCTGCCCTCCATTTGGTGGAACAGCAGCTGTGCTTTAGTCCCAGGGTGTCTCCACAGAACAAACAGGGCTGGTCCTGGCTGTGGGGTCTTGAAACAGGACTCACGAGGCCAGATTTCATCCCTGTACCACTAAACAGTGCCAGTGCCTGTGCACCCTGGGCCAGAGGCTCCCTGTGACCCCAGCAGGTCACGGGATGCTTTGGGTCCTGCTTCCCTTGTTGTGGAGGCAGCTGGTAACAGCCTCTCCTCCTGGACCAGCCCTGCAGGTGAGGGATGCCCTGAACCTCTTTAGAGGCTGAACCCCTGTCCTGGCCAAGGCCACCACTGGGCGCTACATAAATCAGTTACCTCTGGTAGGATTGATGTATGTTGGTGTCCTGTACATCATAACTGAAATACATATGTGACAATTTATCTAGTGCTTAGTAACAAGTATGGGATGGAAAGTTAATGGGAAATAGATCAAGAAACTGCTTTTTCAAAATTGCTTCCTCTGTTTGAGAGTGGGTGTCTGAGTTAAAGGAGCTTAGGACCTTCTCACTTTTTTTTAGAATAATCAAGGTGTAAACTAGAAATATAGAAGGGAAGTTCTGACTGCAAAATATATTTTGGTACACCAAATTAGAGGCAGCAAATTAAGCCTACCTTCAAGAAACCTTAAAACCAGGCAGCAGCTGAGCTGTGACCTGCAGCAACTCCAGCATGAAATGAAACTCTGGGCTGATTTTCCTCCAAAGACAAGCATGGAAAACATGGAATGTGCAGCACTATTGCACTACTGGCAGCCATCCACCCAGGGATAAGCAAGCCGTGTTTGTTCAGCCACAGCATCAGTATCAGAGCCAAGACTGACCAAAATTCCCCCATTAGGTGTCCTGAAAAGACGACACTGGTATGAACTGGGCAGCATGTACAGGACTGCAGAACTCATGAGAAAAGACATGTTCTGAAATAAAGAGGAGTAAATAAATGGATCTTGAAAAAGATGGATGTAAAATATTCATAGGAAAGAATTATACTTGCAAATATTTATGCTTTTGAGTAACTTTACACAGATAGATTAACCAACCCCAGTGTAGCTATGATTCATGTACCTAACACCCAGTATTTGCTGATTCAGAGCCCGTGCAGTGCCCCGTGGAAGAGAACAATAGGAATTTTCCCAGCCACCAAACCTGCCGAGGTTTAAAGGTGCCTGCGGGCAGAGGTGCCAGCGTTGCCCTGGGCTGTGCTCCAGTCACTCCGAGGGCAGCAGCTAAACCGTGCTGGGAAGTGACTCTCTCTGGAAAACATGTTATTGCAGATCATGCCACAGACACATTGGGATATATGCTTGCAGTGAATCTGTGAATATTTCGTAGATACTAAGCAGCAATTAGAGTCTTCCTTTGGAATCAATTCATTCCCTACCACCGTGGTAGCAGGGAGGATCTTATTGAAACTCTCGGATTTTTAATATTATTACACTAAAGACTCTCTCAGTATCAGCATCTCCATGGGGGAGCATTAGCACACTGTAATGTGTAACAACTTCTCCAGTTCAGGAAATCTTCTTGTATTTGTAATAGGACATTTGGGGCATATATTATGTATGGGACATATATTTCTCATTTCCACCAGGCATCATCGTTTCTTCTCTCTAAATTACTCTCCAAATCAAAAAAAAATGCATTGTATTCCTTATCGCTCAATATATATATATTTTTTTTTTTTTTTTAATTTTTTTTTTTATTATTTTTTTTAATCTTTGGATGCAGAAGCCACTAACAGCCATCAGGGCTGCACTCAGTAAGAGCCAGAGAGCCTTGGTCAAACAGCAAGGGAAAGGAGGTCCTGTTCAAAATACTTATTACCAGTCTAAAATGCTTTACTGGAGAGAAGCACCAGTCAGGACAGGAGAAAGGCTTGGTCTCAGCCCAGAAGTGTGTCCAGGATGAAGCAGGACTCCAATTTCTGTTGTTTGCTTTATGGACAGGAACACAAAGCCACTAATGCGTACGTTGCCTTCCAGACAAACCTCTCAAACACTGACTAATCACAGCTCCCAGTGTTTTGCTTGGTAGTAAGTCTGACCACAGCAGGATGAAGAGCAAGGAGCCAAACCAGCCCTGAGGATCAAACCCAAGAGCTCCCCTGGTCCTCAGCCCTGGGCACATCAGCACCAGCCCAGTCACGGCTGGGCCAGTGGGAAACGCCTGGTCAGCCGAGCTCCTGTCCGCCTCAGAGAGCCAGAGAGGTGCAAAACCAGCCTGGAGACACCCACGAAAGGAAAGAGAAGGGCTCTTGCCTCAGCCACTCCTGCTCGGCTCAGGCTGGCCAAAGCAATCCAGAGCCAGTCTAAATAGGATGGAAGACACAAACCATTAGCTAGGTGAGAAAAGAACAGGCTTAACAGAACTCCTCAAAAGATGGCCAAATCAAGCAAAAAGACAATGGGGGAGGGGAAAAAAAAGGGAATGAGTATTTTTGTTAAAGGCAGAATACACATTAACGAGTTTCCTTCCCTCCTTTATTTCATTCTTCACCCCAGGATTTTTTTCTTTTGCTTTAGATTAGCAGCTCCAACTCTCTGTCTTGGATTGAAGGCTGCCGATGTCAGTTGCTACACCCATCTTGCTGCTCTCCAGACGATTGTTGCTGACCTTACCTCAGGTAAGGTGCTGAAAAGCCAGCGCAGGACGGCTGCAGGATTGGTTCATGTAATGATGGCTATGGACCATGCTGCTGTCCCACACGACGCTGCATTCACATCACCTGCCAATTCAATGAGTGTGTTGACAATTTCAGCATTGGCACGTGTTAAGGTTGAGCAGAACCAGACCTTTGCAGACCGTCCATTCAGGATGTTTTCTGTGCTGTGAGTGGACCCGAAGGCTGCTGGTCACCCAGAGAGCCAGGCAAACCCTGACTACTTTGGACCATATCTTTGTTTTCCAGGCCATGGTGAGACAGAGCATCAAATATTTTAATGAATTGAAGGTAGGTCCTGAAACTGCTCATCCCTCCTAACCCCAGGGCTTCTTGAGAAGATAACCAGCTTGTTTGACAGCATTTGCCCTTCCTCAGCCCACAGCAGCTGCTGCCCATCTTGTGGATGCAGCCCGTTTCAGAAGGAAGAAGGAGGTTACGTTGTCCAAATCGCACTATTCAGCCATTTCCACCGGGCCCCTCCCGTGCGCTGCGGGCCGGAGCAGGCTGGGGAGCTCGGCCGGGCACTGCCCCGTTCCGAGGAGGGCGCTTTGCCGAGGCGCGGCGCGGCCCGCGGGGCCGAGCGCGGTGCCCGGGGCGCGGGCGGGGCCGGGCGGAGCGGCGGCGGCGGCGCAGCGCGGCAGCCGCGGTGAGTCCCGCGGGACGGCCGGGCTCGGGGCGCGGGGCCCGGGGCGCGGGGCGGGGGGCGCGGGGCGGCGCGGGGGCCGGGCCGGGCGGGGCGGGATCGGATCCGGGCCCTGCGCGCCGCGGTCCGGCCGCGGTGGGCGCGGAGCGGCGGCGGCAGCCCGAGCCCCGAGCCCCGGGCCTGGGCCTGCCCGGCGCCCGCGCCGCTCCGCCCGGGCCGCAGGCCGCTCCCCCGCCGCCGCTCCTCCCGCGGGCCGCGCCGCGCCGGCTCCGCCGGGCGATGAGGAGCTGCTTCTGCCTGCGCCGGGGGAGCCGCGACCCGCCGCCCGCCGCACGGGCAACAGTTAAGTGTCCCTGCCGCCGCCGGGCCGGGCCGGGCCGGGCCGGGCCCGCCGCTCCCGCGGCCCCGCGCGTCGGCCCGGCGGCAGCGGCAGCGGGCGGGGGCGCTCCTCGGCCGCGGGGCGGGCGGGGCGGGCGGGCCGAGCCCCCGGGCCGGGGCTGGCGGGGCTGGCGGGGCCGGCCTCGCGGGGAACCGCGCCCGGGCCGGGGCCGGAGCGCCCCGCCGGCCTCCGTGAGAGCCGGCGCTTCCTCCGTGAGAGCCGGCCGTGCCTCCGTGAGAGCCATGAGTGCCTCCGTGAGAGCCGGCCGAGCCTCCGTGAGAGCCGGCCGTGCCTCCGTGAGAGCCGGCCGAGCCTCCGTGAGAGCCGGCAGTGCCTCCCTGAGAGCCGGCCGAGCCTCCGTGAGAGCCGGCAGTGCCTGCCTGAGAGCCGGCAGTGCCTCCGTGAGAGCCATGAGTGCCTCCGTGAGAGCCGGCAGTGCCTCCCTGAGAGCCGGCAGTGCCTCCGTGAGAGCCATGAGTGCCTCCGTGAGAGCCGGCCGTGCCTCCCTGAGAGCCGGCAGTGCCTCCCTGAGAGCCGGCCGTGCCTCCGTGAGAGCCATGAGTGCCTCCGTGAGAGCCGGCCGTGCCTCCCTGAGAGCCGGCAGTGCCTCCCTGAGAGCCGGCAGTGCCTCCGAGGCTGGGCTGGCTGCAGGAACGGCCTCGGGTACCAGTCTAGGGGTACAGCCCCGGTGACCTTGAGCTGCTCCGGAATTTACTGTAAATTCTTCTTGGTGACGGTTAGAAGAGATAACAAAATCCTCCTCTGTTTCATGTGGTCTTTTGCTGCGTTTGCAGCTTGGGCCTAGCTGACGTCCCGTTTCTTACCTGTGCTCAGTGCATGGCTGGAGGTGTGGCACTGCCTGACTTCTTACAGCCTGGCTGGAGCAGTGACACAGAGTTGCCTGTGTCTTAAGGACTCGTGCCTTCCATCACGGAGGCTTCCAAGCTTTCTCTGAGGTTTCTGGAGCAGTTTTCAGAGGTCCACAAATCTTCAGTGTTGTCTGCAGGTTCCCAGAGCTGGGACATTCTCAGCTTGGTCATGCTAACATTGAAACCAGACAGGCTGGGTATCAGCATGTGTGTAGCTGCTGGGGCTAAAGCTTGGGTTTCTCCATTTTGTATTTTATTTTAACTGAGTGAGAGCATGCTCATCTATTCTTTAAGGGAGTCTGTGTGTTGTGCAGCATGTTGGCAGCATCATCCGTATAATTTATAGCTGAGATAGCCTTCCCTTCTAGACGAAGGCATGACTTGACTTCTGGAGGTGTGAGATAAACCAGACAACATCTCACTCTTGTAACATGTGCATCTCTCACAAAGTGAATCCCAGGCTTAAGGGTGCCAGTAGCCCTCAGGGTCCTGTTCATACCCCTGCCAAGACAGAAATAACTGAACTCAATGTCATTTCAGTTTTGCTGTCCAGGTGCAAGGTCACCCATGTATGGAAACCTGTTTTGGTTTGAAACAGGACACTTCATAAATATGTGTCCATAGTTAGAAGTGCTGTGAGGCAATACATGGTCTCAATTTTGCTCATTCTGTCACTTAAGTTCCTGTTTCCATCCCATTCTGTCACAAAGTGTAGGTTCTGCAGCTGGTGCAGGGCAGCTGTCTCATAAGGGAGCCTGTGTGCAGGGGTGATTCCAGGCATGCCTTCGATGGTGGTGAAATGTGAAACTGAAATTCTTCCTGTTTGTGATGGTGGGCTCCAAGGCCCCGATGCTGATTGCCACTACGGGTTCCTGTTTTTCTGATGGAGACAATGTTGTGTTCCCTGATCAGAAATAGAAGGCTGGCTGGGGCCATGTCCGGTGCGCGGGCGTGCGGGAGAGCTGCAGCAGCGTGGCTGCAGGGCTGCGTGGCTGTGGGGCAGCGTGGCTGTGGGGCAGCATGGCTGCAGGGCAGCAGAGCTGCAGGGCAGCGTGCGGTGCCAGCAGTGCCTTCCTGCAGGGATGGAGGACAGGCCGAGTGGGCAGACCAGGCTTTGAGCGGCGTGTCTGCTTGGTTTAGGGGACCATTTCCCACAGACTGCAGGGATGCAAGGAGGTAGTTGGTTTTTTCCCAGTTTTGCCTTAGCTCATGTCTTTCTGCCTGTGGGAAGAACAAGCCAGTGTCAAAGTGCAGGGCTTGTAGTTGGAGGAAGAAACAATAACACCATTCTCTGTCTAAGTCCCTGGCTATTTAACTTCAGAGCTTGACCTGCTTTGCTGGCAGCATGATGTTTCTGTAGCAAACACATTGAAAGGCCTGATCTGGTCATGTACCCACCAGCTCTTGAACTTGCTGAACTTGTTGAAAAGGAACACTGAGAGCAGAAAATGATCTAGAAACTCACAATAACACATTCATTTCTGAAAGCAGGTTCTTCTGCTGTATGTGTGTCCCAGCCAGAGCCCAGCAGTGTGTGTGGTCAGTCACCTCAGTGGAGCCAGCAGAAAAGTATGCCTAGGATAAACTAATAAAGGCGGATGAGCTAACAAGGAAATAGGAGAGAGCAAGCAAAAAGGCTATAAACAGACAAACTTGGCAGTGCTGGCAGACAGGGAGGTGTGTGTGACTGTGGGCATGGGTTGTGGGAAGAAGGCTGTGTTAGAAACCAGTAGAGTCCCAGAAGGCCTCTGCTACAGCTGGGCATCAAGATCCCTGGTACACTACGCCTCCTGCCTTTGAGGCATGTCTGCTCCGATGGTTGGGAAGCATTTGGGATAGAGCCAGCGGCATGGTGGCTGCTTGTCCAAGAGTGCATCCTGTCCATCTGAACTGCACCCGTCCCACCCTGCTCTGCTGCATGCTGCTTGGGGTTGGTGCTGCCACAGGATGCACAGGAACTTTCTCGCTGGAGACACATTCTTTCCTGACTGGCTTTGTCTGGGCAGCCCCACAGTGTTCGGAAGCTTCTTCCTGCCCCAGAGCTCACATCCGGCTTCCTTTGGCTGCTGGGATGTGATGGGGACTGGATGTGGCCCCACAGCTGAGAACAGCTTCCAGGGAGCATGCTCCCAGCTGAAGGGAAAAATGTTCTTCTCATTGTTTTGGCCTGTTCCTGGAATAGCCCTGCAGTGAGCTAGGCACAGGCAGCTTACTGCAGGATGCTGATGGGCCATATCCTGGGCTGAGTGCTGGAGGTGGGCATGCAGGTCAAACTCACATTACTAAAGAGAATTAAAATAACAAACTGCCTAATAGAAGTATTTATAGAATCCTGCTCCTTAATTTAATCTCCTCTTTGAGTGTTTATTTTTTCATTTTTAAGTTAAAAGGTGCAATTGAAGAGAAACCAAACTTTGTTGACGATCTTGCGGAGAAGTGCAGTGTAACTAATCGTCTGTGTGATTGCCCAGCTAGAGACTCCCCTCTGACCTGTGCAGAGTTCACAAAAACATTTATGCCAGTGTGCAACTGACTTCTGCTGCTCCATATCTGTTCCAGATGCATCCTTAGTGCCGCCTGCACCGCAGGCAGCTGCCCAGAGTGGCTGCCTGGTGTGGCAGAGCCTGGCCGTGCTGTAGTGGCCACAGAAGGTTTGCTTGCTGGGCAGGTGCTGTGCCTGGCATCCCTGTCGGCTGCAGGCCCGGGGCAGAGGAAGGTGCTGGGCTCGCTGGGCAGGGGCAGCTTGTTGGCCCTTGCAGCAGCAGGTGCTGTGGCACATTACCCCACGGCATCCACCACGGCTGGGCAGAGAGCTCCATGGCCAGGATGGCCCCATGGCCAGGTGGAGAGCCCCACAGCCAGGACAGCCCCGAGGACAGCCCCACAGCCGGGCAGAGATCCCCACGGCCGGGCAGAGATCTCCACGGCCAGGCAGAGAGCCCCACGGCCAGGACAGCCCCACGGCCAGGTGGACAGCCTCACAGCCAGCGCTGCCGCCATAGAGGGGCTTTGTGTGAGCCGGCACAAAGTGAGGATTGATGCTGTTTCCCCTCCCCCTGCCGCGCGAGCTGGGCTGCAAATGGCTCCCACAAAGGTGCCCTTCTTCCTTCGCTGAGGACAGGGTGCCCGCGGGCTGAGGGGGAGGCAGCACACTGCGGGTTGGAGCACCCACCCACCCTCCTTCAGCGCTGGTGCCCCGGGCCCCCTCGTCCTCAGCCTTGCCCAGGCCGAGCTGGCAGCTGCTGGGGTTCCTGCAGGGCAGCCACACGTCCCTGCAGCGGGCCCCAGCATGGTGAGACGGGGCCTGGGCAGCGCTCACAGCAGGCACCTCATCAGGGTATGTGTGGTGGAGGCTGCAGGCACCATGTGAGCAGATCTGCTTCCCTGCAGTGCTGCTGCAGCTCTGTGGGAACCTGCTGTGTGTGTTCTTAACGTGCTGGGGAATATCACTTACCTGCATTTCAGTTCAAAATGGCCTAAGAGAAGCTTACATCAGCATTCACTACCTCCCAGCTCCTCCCAATACGTAGTAAGAAGTCACCACACTATTGAGTGATTTGAAGTTTCAGAAAATGTTCATGAAGAACAGATTGTAAGCGCTTTGTTAAATTCATGTTATGTTTCTTCCATGCTGTATGTTTGAGTTTCTGGATTATTTGTGAAGCCTCTGGATGAGCTGTGGGGTGGCACAGGCGTTGGCACAGGGTCTGTCATGGCTGTGCCAGTGCCTCCAGCATTCCTGCAGCAGCACCCTGTGCTCCTCGCCCACCCTGAGGACAGGGAGCCTGCTGGGAGAGGAGGGTGAGCCCCTGGGGCTCAGGCTGCACTGACATCATGCTCAAAGGTTGGAGCTGCTTTGGGAGTGAAGAGGGTTTGCTTTGTTCTGTGTGCTGGATGCGTGTCCAGCACACTGGTGCTAAAGCAGAGCTCTCTCCTGTTTGGCTCATCAGCAATAATGTTTGCAATTACTGGTCACTAGCACCTCTTTTGGACTCCTCAAGTAGTCTGGCTGTTCATGTGACATTATTATTATTTACTTAGGGCCCAGACTTGCTCTTTTTTATTGCCTGCAGCACGATGTTTGTTCAGACTTGGCATTGTGAAGTGTAAACCCAGGTCCCACTGGCACCAGTACTCACCTCTGCCTTTCTAGAAGCAGTAAGTAACCAGCCATCTAAATGGCCTAGAAATGCTGGGGTTTGATTGCTCTGAAGAGGGAATTGAATTAGGCAGCTCTGGTTCACAGCTTGTCTGGCTCTGCAGCAGTGATGCTTGTTTACACAAAGCACTGCCCTTTGTCTTGGGGTGCGTGGGTGGCAGATTCCTGGGGCATTCCTGCCTGAAAGCCAGAGAAGACTTGCTTTAACTGGCTGCTTGTGCAGGAGACCACATGCTGAGGCAGTGGCACCTTTCCCCATCCTTCACCTCGGTTGTTTCAGCCCCTTTCTTGTCCTCTCCTCCTGCTTCCTGCAGCAGCATCCCTCCAAAATGAGTTGGTCTTACCTGCTTCTGTCCTTTTTGCATATCTCCCTCCCTTGACCTTCTTGGTGGTATGTCTCTTCTGGAAGATGCTCAGGCCTCCTCAAGGCCTCTCTGCTTTGTGCCAGCCCACCCTGTGCTTCCTCTGTGTTCCCTGGTGTGGAGGCTCCCTGCAGCCAGTGCGGTCCTGCATCCAGCGCCAGAGACATCTGTGCTGCTCCCTGAAATCAGTCTGGCTGGGGGGGGTGTGATGGGACTGAGGACTCATGGGGGAACCCCCAGCATGTCTTAACACCTATAGTGGATGGGGAACCTCCAATTAAAGCCATTAGGAGCAGATTTCTTGCTGTTTAAAATGACAGAGCTGCTTCAGCCAACCTGACTTGGGATGAAATTTGTTCTCGTTTTGGAAGAGAAGGGATTTAGTTTTGGCTTTCCTGTCATTGCTAGATGGAGACCAGCCCATGGAAGCAACAAAATGAGTCTCAGAGGCTGCCAGCCCAAATTTCAAATCTATTTGGCATTGTATACCCTCTTATCAAAAGCAAATGAAAGTGCAGAAGGTGTGTCTGGCCTAATCCTGTGTTTACCTTGCCGTCTGTGGTGTGTCAGCACAGGCACCGTGGCATGCATGTGTGCTCTTGGTTCTCTGGCTTCTGCTGGGGTGTGGTGCCCAGCAGCCCTTTAATTCTGCTCCTTTCTTGCAGGATCAGTCCATGATGCCTGAGGTGCGAGACCTCACCGATGCCCTGCCCGACCTGTCGATGGATCCCATCACGGGCGTTGGCGTGCTGGCGTCCCGCAGCCGTGCACCCACTGGATATGACGTTGTAAGTAGGGCTGTTGGAGTGTGACGTTGTGAGTAGGGCTGTTGGCGTGTGATGTTGTGAGTAGGGCTGTTTGAGTATGACGTTGTGAGTAGGGCTGTTTGAGCTGCTGCAGTTCATGCTTTGGTTCTGCACTAACGAGGCTTTGCTTTGTTGGGAGCAGCATCTCTTCCAGAGACAGCATGTCTTTGAGCTGTGCTGTGAGGAGTCATTGGTAGCCAGCTGCCCACCTTCCAGCCCACAGCACTTAGAGCTTTACTTCAGCAGAGGGCTGTGGGTGCAAATGTTCCACTTCATCTCTGCCATTCCAGAGGAGCTTCATTTCCTAGAGGAGGGGTTTACTGAAACAGCTGGCCACTATGGCAAGCAAATTTAATAATCCTAGTAACATTCATCCTGAAGGAGTCCTAAGTATTGTACAAATTATATCTCTAAATAAATGGATCCCGCATCAGCTGTTTAATCCCACATATTAGCACTGCACAATGATGATGAGAAGCTCCAGAAAGGGAATCAAAGAGTTTTGCATCCAGCTGAAATTGCAAGGATGATTTTGACAGGCAGAATGCAAACCTCTAAACTAAGGTTTGGCAGGAGACTGGCAGCAGGAAAAGGCAGCTGGGTACAGCATAGATGAATGTGTGAACAGATAAAGGGAGGTCGCTGTTCAACAGCTGCTTGTTCCTTGGATTAGTTGCTGTGAGAGCAACAGCAGGATGGTTCTACTCATAGATCAGTGTACCAAACTGTGAAATATAAAATACTGACCTTGCAGAGATGTACAGAGAAAGATTTGGTCTGTAGTTCATCTGCTTGCTTTTCTATGTGTCCTGCTGCAACTGTGTTACATCACACCGTGGGTTTCCAGGGCTGCACAGCTTGTGTGGTAGGAGTGGAAGCCAGCTGACTGGAGGCTTTGCTCATGCCTCTTCAGCTCTGGATGATTTCATACCTTGTTCAGTGTGAAGAAAGAAAATGGATCAGGCTGAAGTAAGGACACAACAGGGGCATTGTGAAAAGGCTCCTTAAAGACCTGGGAGGTTTTTACATTTACTGTGTTTTTCCAAGTGCTCATTACCTGTGTGAGCCAGGCTGTGTAATTAGCTGCTTGCCCTGATAAAGAAGCACGGGACAGTGTGAGACTTCTGATAACAGAATTGCATTTTGCCTAAATGGCTGGGCAGAGAGCACGCTCACCCCAGATAGCCTGCCTGTGGCTTAATGGGGAGTTGCAGCACTAACGCAGTTTAAACTAAACAAGATAAAAGAGTCTTCCTGTGGCGTAATCCAATTATGGTGGTGGTGTAATGCTGGTGAATGTGGGTCGCTGTCTCCTCAGGGCACAGTGAGGAGCTGCCTTTGCTCTGGCTCTGCTGCCTCACTGTCTGTTCACAAGGAGCACTGCCCTGGGAGCGGGCGTGGGGCAGTGCCTGCTGTCGTGCTGTCCTCCCCCAGCACGGCTGCCACGCCAGCTTACCACGTCAGCAGTGTGCCTGGGTGCTGCCAGCCACCCTTGGTGTCCTGTGCCCCGTGCAGCACCTGATGTGACAGGGGCCAGTGGCACGCACGAGTGTGCCTGGGTGTTTGTGAAGGTGGCTGGTCTGTGAGTCAGTGCACTGGAGCATTGTGTGCTATGCCGGGTTGCCACTTCTCCGTGACTTCTCTGGAACCTGGTCTGGTCTCCCAAAAGTATGAACCTGAATGTGCACAAGTGCAGTGCTCAGCGCAGCAGAGAAATGGTGTTCTGAGACATGGGCAATGTGCAGACCTGGGTGGTCTTGGGGTCTGTGTTTCTGCAATTCCCGTAATGAGGCACTGACAGCTGATTGCTGTAAAGCCTTGAGAAAGGCAGCTGTGGCAGCTGCATCCCAGAAGTGTGCTCCCTAGAGCCCTCATAGTAAGAGGTGCACACTGCACCTTGGAAAGAACCACACTCATCTTTTGGGAAGCATTAACAGCAGTGTTTCTTGGGATGTTGTAGTCTCCTTAGGGATCCAATGGCTTTGTGTGTCACTGCTGCATCCTGCAGCATTCGGTTCTGCAGGTGGATTCAGAGTTGTATGGGAAAATATTTCCTCGTGTAGTTTCTGATGGTTTCAAGTTTTTCATTTATAGGCTTTACCAGTTTCCCTCTCATTTTTATCCTTCTTCAATTAATAACTTAATTTTCCCTTTTGTTCTCTTTTAAAGAAATCTCCAGGAGCATGGTTGCTTCATCCCAGGTGTAAATTAAATGCCTAGAGATGTCCAGGTCCATTTCCCATGTTCACATGAAGCCTCAGGGCTCAGCCTACTGCCCAGCTGGAGATGGCAGGCAGCAGTGCCTGGGGGGATGTCTTGGCAAATGGGACAGAGGCCTTTTTTCCTCTGTGGTACTTTAGTTGCTCCATAATCTCTATTGCCTTTGTGTCTGCTTAGAAAACAAATGCACTGCTGGCACTTGGAATACCTAGCCAGGTCTTTTCACAGCTAAAGCACCAAAGACTTTTGATTTTGCCAAAATATACAGAATGTGTCTGAACTTAGATTCCTGAAAATCCAACCAAACTGGCAAAACTGAGTGTCTGGGTGGGGAGGAGAGGTGGGAGGCAGCAGCCTGGGACAGGAGGGAGGTGTGGCTCCTGTGCAGCTGTGTTCTTTGCTGCAGGCTGAACACCAGCTCCGTGGTGGGGTTTGCTCTGGGGCAGTGTCTGAGCAAGCTGCAGACCCAGCAGGAACAGCCCTGACTTTGCCAGAGGGGCAGAGCAGCCTGTGGAGCAGGAGGTTTAAAGGACCTGCTTGCCAAGACCTGACTGCGGTGGCAGTAACCCCGTTCTAACTGCCGTGCACAGTGGATCACCCTGGACATCCTGGGGTGTCACTTCCTTAGCAGGTGGCACTCTGTCAAGTCCATCAGTCTGTGGCACACGGGTGAGGAGTGTCTCCCCACAGCCTCGTGAGGAGAAGGACCATTTCTTGTGCCTGGGGCACCATGTGCTCAGTGCCAGGTGCCAGATCCTCTGTCTCGCACGTTCCTTGCCTCTCAGCCAAGGAAAGACTGGGCAAGCTGGGGCTCTGGAGTGCCTGTCCTGCTAGCCAGGTCTGCTGTGGCCTTTCCCACTTGGCTCCTGGCCTGAGGGCATGCTGATCAGGCACAGCTCTGCTTTGATGTTTGCTGGGGCTTCTTGCTTGCAGGAGCCCAGCAGGTGATGCAAGAAGTTTCCTGTTCATAAGGCTCTGTTTTCTTTTCCCATGTGTTTTCTAACAAGTTCATTCATGCTTACATTCTCCTGGCTTGGAGTTCAAGCTGACCATCCCTATATGCCAGCAGTTTTCCCAGACAGATGGTTTCCTGAATATCTTTTCACCACTATTGACTTACCCATCACAGAGGAAGATGCATGTAGATTTTACACACTCCTAAACTATCAGTTCAGGAAAGATTTGAATTCAAGGAATTCAAATAAGCAAAAAATTTTACCAAAATTGTATTCTAAAATGTGTCTGTTTCTTTGTAGAGCTGAACACAAAAGCTGTGTGTGTTGTACAATGGCATGACCTGAGCTGGGGCTTGTGAGCAGCAGTTGCCAAAATTCAGGGAGCAGTCAGTGCACTTTGCTGCTTTGATCAGACTGTCTCTTGTCTATCTGCTGCACTCGGGGTAATTGGAGGCCTTGTCAGCACACAGCTCCTGCTTCCTGTGCGCAGTCTCTGCTCAACTAAACATGGGTGCAAAAGTGACAAGTATCAGCTCTTTGTTCTCAGGCTGCTCTGCTCTGGGGCCAAGGGCTCACTCGGTGTGATTGCAAGAGCCACCATAGAGCTGTTTGCCCCATCTGAGAGGCATTAGGCAGAAGTTCAGCTTCTCTGGAGCTTCACACCACCCTGAAGTCTCCTGCTGGAGACACCACTGGGTGTTAGTCTGATGGGGTAATCTTGTTTTTTCTACCCTTCTTGTGTTTGCCTTCTTGCCTCCTCTCTTACTCAACAACAAACATTTTGGGGCCAGGGCTCTTACCAGCTTGCTTTGTGTGTGGTGAGTGCTCAGCTGCTGAGAGTAGAGCCCGTCCCCAGTGCATGCTGCTGCCTCCTGTCCACTCCTTGAGTCAGCTAGAAGTGAGATATTCTCATGCACATCATGCTGTCTCTCCTGTGGAGGATCCGGGCTCTGTTTCCTTGCCCAGCATCATCATGTGATATCAGTTTGGCTGGATGCGGGGTTGCATTGGAGAGGGACATTTGCAGGGTGTGTCCTCGCATGCAACGCTGCTGCTAAAATCCACCAGTGACCAAAGATTCCCCAACCTGCTTGGAAGCAGCTTTTTGATGTGGGAGTCAGAATTCCTTGATGGCTTTCCATCGAAATAGCAAAATAGTCCTGAGATGGGTCAGTTTCTCTGCTCTGTCTTCATGGGCCCTCGCAGCATGCCCGGTGTGCCCTTGCGTGTAGGGTGGTAATGAATGCCTCAATGTGCTGACTTTTCCAAACTATTCTTTGGAGACTGTAACTGGAGTTGCAGTTTCCTCATTAGAGTAGCCTTTGTCAGAGCATCTTTAATCAAGGGTCTCCTGAGAGACAGCATTTTTAGAACTTCTTTTTATACCTCCTGTTGAAAGTTCTTTGCACTGCACTTTGCAAAGAAACTAATGAGATGCTGTGAAAGTTTGGGCTGCTGTTAATTAGGAGAGGTCTGAGGAAGAAGTACTTCTGTATTAACTTTATCTTGGCTCACATGTCTCCTCTCTCCCTCTGTCTCTTCTTTGCAGGTTGCACAAACAGCAGATGGCTTGGATGCTGACCTGTGGAAAGATGGCTTGTTTAAATCCAAGGTCACTCGGTACCTGTGCTTCACCAGATCATTTTCAAAAGAAAATGTAAGTCCATTTGCTGAGTGTCTGCCTGATTTGCATCTGTGCCTGGTATGTGCTTACCCATACGATGATTCATTTTATGCAGCCAATTATAATTCAAGCAGGCGTTCTGCTGAGTTCGGGTGAGTAAGGAGGCAAAGTACAATGGCAGAATATTTGCATTTTGTGTGTGTTTCTCATGGAAAGAAATTACTGACAAAATATTCTGCAATAAGAGAAGCACAAAAGGGAACGTTTGCATTTTAGTAGCCTCTCGCCCTCATTACCTGCTGCAGCAATGGGTGCTGCACACTCATGGTCCTGATTGATGTCTAACCCAAATTCCTCAAGAAAAACAATGTAGGTGGTGAAGGAAATGTTGGTTTATGAATCCAGGAGCATCACAGATATTTTATTGCAGGATTAGCTTGCTTTCTTTGTTGGTTTTGGTGCTGATTCTTGAAAATGTGCCCACGTTGTGCATATGCTATCACATTCTTGTAATCTGGTCTGACTATTAAGTATGAGTTACTTCGTGATTAGCAGCAGTTGTCTGCCCACACTTTCTGTGGAGGAGAGGAGACTGCAGCAAGAGCCTCATGCATTCTGCTCTGGTTTTGGTTGAGGCTACTGTGAAAACTTTATTTTTCTGGAGGAACTGTTGACTTCTGCAATGAATGCACTCCATCTAGTGGGTAATCCTGCTTTTGGTCGCGCTTTGGATATTGTCGGCCACTCAACTGGCAGGCTCTGCAAGTACCATTTTGTACTTGTGCTTGCACCATGGCAGGAGCAGAAAGGTGATGGCAGCTTCAGGGGCTGCTCACAGGTCCTGGCAGTAGAGCTGGGGGTTGCCAGTTCCCAGCGTTTGACCTTTACTCCGTCTGCTTCCCTGCCTGTCTCTAGATGAAAGTAAAGCTCCAGAGCTATGGGAAATATCACTTCCCAGGTGGATGGATAATAATTGTGCTTTTCATCCTGAAGTATGTGCAGGTGCAGGAATAGCAGCCCTGGAATAGGCAGGAAGGCTATTAAATAGGTTTGTGCTGATTTGAGTATTAGGTTTATCTGTAGCTACCTGAAATGTGAATTTGTCAGAAATAATTGTAGGACAGGAGCAGCTGCTGGCTGCAGAGATGGTGTAAATACCCTCAGGTGGTGCCTGCTGGACTTTTGGCAAGAACCCTGGGGTCACCATGGTTTTGGAGTACCTTCTTCATATTGATGAGGCATAAATTAAAGCCAAAGTTTCCCTTCCCTCAGTCCTCTTGGCCACATGGGATATATGATGTGCTTCCCTGTTGGGGGCATCTGCGGGCTAACAGGCCTTGGTTCCCTCATCTGGGAGGAAGAGAGGTGAGAGGCTCCTCTCTCACCCCTGGACACTGACTTTGGGTTGGAAGTTTTACCATTTGGGGGTTCCTTTTGTGTTTATCAAAACGCTGGGAACTTTTTTCTCCTGAAGAGCAATGTTGTAATTAGTAGAGTTAATGCACTTCAGGTACATGGGTTGGAGCAGAGTCAGTCTGCAGTGCCTGTTTAGCAGAATCATCATTCTCAACAGTTTACAGCATCTGACATTTCTGTATCTGAGCGTGGGGAGTTCCTGGATGGTGGATCTCACAGGCTGGGGGGCTCTGTCCCCTTTTCTCCTGTGCACGTGGCAGAGCTCACCCCCAAGGTTCCAAGGAGCTCATTGGAGACGCCTCTCCTGCTGCTGACTGAGTGATCGGTGGTTCAGCAGAAAGTTGCCACTGATGTAACACACAGACAGCTGAAATAAATAAAACATGAAGGATGAATCAGCAGCAACTACTTTGTCTGCTGTTTGCTGTGCCAGGACCATGTTAACTGACACATTCAGGCTTGGCAGCATCCAGCATTGCTTGCTCCAGGATTCCCTGGCCATGGGTGGTCAGAGACACACGTGGGGGCTGCCTGGCTCTGACCTCTTCACGTGATCAGAGGATGTGTGACACACTTATGTCTGGTGGGACAGGGCTGCAGGTCTACTGACCCTTCTGGTCAGGAGCTGACCATAAAATGCAGGACCTCCCAGAAATAAACTCGCACCTGACCTCCCCTTATTTCAGAGTCTGCAAGTTTAAATATTTTGTAAGAAGTTCAGTGAAATAATCTGAGAGTACAGGTTTATCTGAAAAACTCTTGCCAGATAAAAACTAAAGGAGGTACTTTGCAGCCAGTAACAGTAAAACTAAATGACACAGTTTGATAGCTTGGGATTAAATTTTAATTGTTCTGTGTTGTGTTTCTGTTTATAAAGGCTGTGCAGTACCTAAATTGCGTTCTTTCATGTGACCCGAGATTATTGGCAGCAGTGGTGGTTTTATCAAAAACCAGAAAGAAAACCTGGTCTCTAAACCATTGTGGAGGCTGTCACTCTGAATTGAGCTCTGAGCTCTTCAAGTCTTGATTAATAGGACAAGGCGTGAGTTCAGAATTCATATGGACTCTAAATTAAGTTTGTTGTTCCAAATGGCCTGTGCTTCTGGAGTGTGCTGCATTTGGAGCTAGAACCCTGTCTATTCAGTACTAATTAGCTAATGCATATAATAACTTTGGCACCGTGTGCATAAGCCATCATCCTGTAATGCTTTTTGCTGTTACTGTCATGGAAATGTCATGTTGCTCTTGTAAATGTAGAGTGTGTAAGAACTGAGGCAACCTTCTCGGTGGATGGGTTGGTGAAAGTAGTACTTTGAGCTGCTGTGCCTGCAAAAAGAAGAATTTGGCTGTGCTTCCAAAAATCTGGAAGTGTGTCACTGGGTGAGGTGTTAGAATTTTAAATGCTGAACGTTGTCTGGTATCTCCTAGTCAGTATGGTTTGGTTCCTGCTGAGAGGACACGTGCAAGGGTTGCCTTGGTATGTTCTTACCATTTCTAAAGCTGTGCTCAGATACAATGACAAGGCATCTTGGGCTTCAGCAGGTGGGAAGATCTGGGGTTTAATTTGGTGACATTGTCATAAACAGCTGTTTCTTTTTTCTCTCCAAAGAGTCATTTAGGCAACGTCTTGGTCGACATGAAGCTCATTGATATCAAGGACACTTTACCTGTAGGCTTCATGCCCATCCAGGAGACCATTGATACACGTAAGTTGGCATCTGTTCCTCAGTCCCACTCTGCCAGTGATTGTATGGCCAGGCTGTGGAGGGCCCTGTCCCTGGCCATGGAGGGCCTGTCCCTGGCCATGGAGGGCCTGTCCCTGGCAGAGGGTTGCTCCTGGCACTTCTGCTCTCTGGGATGGCATGTGCACCTTTAGTTTTCTTGTCCTCCTCAGGCTGTTTAATGGGGCTGCCTGTCTGTCTTCACTCACCTGCTAGAGTCCCATGTCTCTGGGGCAGGAAGGGAGAGTTTCTTTTTTCAATCTGAAGAGTGGACTGGGCCTAGCAGGAGCAGAGCTGCTGTGCCAAGGGGTGTTCAGAAATGCACTGAAATGAAGGGGGTATGGGTTTGTGCTGCCCACTGTACATCTCCTGCTGTGGGGCTCCTATCCTGCCAGGAAGTACTGAGGGGTGTCAGCTGTGTTTGTGCTTGCTGACACAAGGCACAAGTGCCGTGTCCTGGGGGAATATCATGCTCATTTCTGCAAGGTAGAATAGCTTCACTGCAACATGTAAGTGAGCAGTTCCCAAACAGTGTGTTCAGCTCCCCTGGGACCTGTGCCAGCAGCAGCTGGAGCCACGTCTGGTGGCAGGCCTATGTTGTGCAGAAGGCACCGGGAGCACTGGGCTGGCAGGGGACAAGCCCCGTGGGAGGATGGCAGGACTGGCGCTGGTGCCCGGTGCGCAGCTGGTCCTCACAGAAGGGCTGCTCCCAGTGCATGCATGTCCATATGAAATCCAGGCCAGGAATGAGCAGGAAGGGCTTACATGAACCTGCCTTGTAGGGAATCATTCAGCTGGGGCCGCAGCACATGAGGATGCTTTTTCAGTCACTGTGATCTGGTTCTGATTGGAACCTGTGGCCTGGAAGGGAAAGACTCTGAAGACTGTTCTCCCAGGTCACCCTCTGCTTCTGGAAAATTCTTGGGCACATGTCATGTGAGGTAGATTTGTTGGCTTATTTTACTGACTCTTGGGAGTGCTGGACCTTACTGTGTGCTGCTTCAACTTCTGTGCAGGTTCTGATGGAAAGGTGGAAGGGGGCTTTGTCATTAATTCGAAGTGCACTGGGTTGTGACTGTGATGTCTTTAAAGCAGAGGCACTGCCTGTACTAAGGAAGTGGTGAGAAGGAGAACATAGACAAAAGCAAATAGTCAGCTTTGTACTTGCAAAGAAAGTCAAATAAGAGACACTGATTTTGTTCAGAGTTAGATTTGTGTTAACACATGTCTCTGTGCTCCTCTCAAAATGGCAGCTAGGTCACAGTTAATACATTTAATACAGCACTCTTTAGTAGGTCTTGAGAATTTTCTCAGGAAGCCTTAAATCCTAGACTCCTAAGATGAGTTTTAGGCACTTCATACAGAAGCCCTACTTTTTCAAAGCAGGGGAAGACTAGACTTCAGGGATGCAGGTATTTACCATCTCTAAACACAGCACTGTAACTGCAAGCTGCATGCACAGATGCTCCATTGGCACACCTCATACTGTCTGTATGGTTATTTGTGCTAGTGCAGCAGCACACTTCAGAGGCTGGAATGGATTGCTGTTTCCCAAGGTGTGGATTACGAAACAGGAGGAGCCTATGGAGACAGGGCTGCTTGCCATCTGTTGAAGTGACAGCATATTTTAAGTTGGGAGATATTTGTTCACATTAAGATGAAGGGTTTTTATTTTGCAGGCACTTGTTTGTAGTTGCTGGTTATTTCCAGATATTCATTCAGCGTCTGCTCTTCAGATTTTCAGTATATCAGTGGACTTCTGTCCTGCTTTCCAAGTGCCTGCATCCAAACAGAAACCTCACCTTCCTCACCCTGAGACTCCTTAGGGTGAGATGGAGCACTGCAAATCTGTGTCTGTGTGCCAGTGCCAGGCACTGTGGTCACAGACAGCACCAGCCCTGGCTGTGGATTGTGTCTGTGTGCTGGTAAACAGCCTGAAGGTCTGTGAATTCATTATACAGATAATCCTTAGCTGTGACGGGCTTGACTTTTTCACAGTGGATAACATGGAAACAATTGCTCTGTGACACATAGCAGAAAGGGCTGTGCAGTGTGTTCATCCACCCTCAGAGCACAGGCCAGAGCAGTGCAGCTGCCTCGTGGGAGGTTCTGGCACTTACTGCTTTGTAAATCTGGTTTGTACTTGTAAAGAACTGGGGCAAACATGGTGGGAGTATCGTTTCTGTGCCTGCTGACTTGATCAGGAGATGTCACTAACACTTGGGATGTGTGAGATGTGGACAGACAGCTCTTACACTCAAGCTCTCTGCATGGCAGGCTCTGCCTGCTCCTCCTCGCACTGGGTTGGAAGTGGCTGGTTGGAAGCACGTAGCAGAATGAGCTGACTGGTTGTTTCAGAAGCTTCCAGGTAACTCCTAGAGGCAGTGCTTGTGGGAGGAATGTTTAGATATGGCTGTCCAGGCCAGTGAGGCAAACATTACCTGGGAAAGAGCAAGGGAGTGCGAGAGGCATGTGGAACTGGCAGAGTCACCTGCTGTTCTGTGCTGTGGGGCAGCACCAGGCACACGGAGCTGATCTCTGCAGCAGGCAGGAGGAGAGCTGGTTATTGCAGTGCCAATAGCACATCTGATAGAACATTCCCCTCTGAATGGCGCTGCACTGACTCATTTGTTCACATATGTCTGTTCTTTGGCACCAGTTCTGCCATAATTACCTGTCTAATACCTGGAGAGACTATAAATAACATTTATACTCTAATCTTGCATGAACACCACCCTGTATTCTGCATTGTTTCTGCAGAAGAAGTAGCTTTCAGAAAGAAGAGGCTCTGCATAAAATTCATCCCTCGAGATTCCACAGAGGCAGCGATCTGCGATATCCGAATCCTGGGGAGATCCAAGCAAGCCCCTCCGCAGTACACGTTCATAGGGTAAGTACCCCTCACTCCCAAGCTGTTGTCAGCAATGCAGTTATACCAAAGCAAGGGCCCCGTGCTCCTCTAATTATCAAGCAGCAGCTTGTAAGAGGTGAAGCTTATCGTTGGAAAAGTCCAAGTAAGTATGAGTGTTACCAAGTTTGATGTAGGAATTAACTCACCCCTCCTTTTTTTAATTGCACTTGTTCTCACTGACAAAGGTGTGGTGGAACACGTCAGTGCCTGATGCTGGTGCGTGTGTGCAGTCAGCACTGGTGCTGTGTGTTGTTTCCCAGGGAGCTGAACAGCATGGGTATCTGGTATCGGATGGGCAGAGTGCCACGCAACCACGACTCCGCGCAGCCTGCGGCTCCTCCCGCCCAAGCACCAGCTTCAACGCCCGCTCCCAACCTGCCAAGGTAGGTTTTCTGCATTCCAGCTCCTTCTGCTTGATGCTGCATGTCTTGTGGTTACTAACCTTGCCTGGGAAACCAAGACCAGGGTGCTGCACTGGCATGGAATGATTGTGTCACCATCTGATACGGGAATGTGCTGTTCGTTGAAGTATTTGCCTGCTGGAAGTTCTCTTTACCTGTTGTTGTGTAAAGAAAAGTGGGTGAAGAATCCAGAAGAAAGGAAGGGCCTGCAGAGGAAGGGAAACAGCAAACTGTACCTTTTCTTGGCTTTAAACAATGCGGGATATTGTAGCTTCCAACACATACCCTCAGAAGGGTGAGCCAGAGCTGCAGCCAGGGTGATTGTTCTGCTTAACCAGAGGGAGGGAGAAGTGCCTCTTACAGACTTCAGAAGGGAAACAGGTTTTGCTCATCTCCAGGATCAGCCTGTTCATGGTTTGAAGTACTGGTTCTTGGTTTTTTATTTTCCTGAGCCCAGCTGCTGAGCTCCAGTTATGCAGTTGACATGAGTGTGCACAGCAGCCTGCTCATCTTGTGGTGACTGATGGGAGCAGCACTGCTGGGCTGCAGTGTCTGTCCAGCCTGTTCTCCCTGTGTTACAGGCAATATTTCTGTGTGTATCAACAGATGTGCTAGTGTGTAGACTTTCATATACCAGTAGTGCTGTACTGACAGCTTACTTGCTGGATTTCTCTGGATAAAAAGAGGTGTTGTTAAGCAACAAAGCAGCCCAGACAGTGATGAAGCTGAGAACTTTGCACTCCTGACATTCCCTATGAAAGCACAGCTTTCACCCAGTGTGAATTGTGCTCTTGCTGCTGAGACTCACAGTCTGGGCCAGGCCGTTGCCAGGGGACTGCACATTCTCTTTGGGTCCCTTTGTGCTTTTGCCTATTTTGTGTACATGTATTTTTGCACTAGGCATTTTCTACACTGCAGATACCTTTACAGTATTACAGTAACTGCTGAGAGCTAGAGTTTTGGAGAAGACAGCAGAGAGGAGTTCCAAGGTCCATTTTGTGTACAAAGGTCATTGTATCACATGGGTGGAATCTGCTTATGTCCTTTAGAGTCTTGATTTACAGGTCATTTCATAGTTACACTTTTAAACTGCTGCAGCATGTTCCCCAGAATGCAATCAGGTACCTCCTTAAAGCAGGTGTGCACATTTGAGCCTTCACCCATGGCCCAGACTGAAATCCACTGTCCTCCTGTGGTGGCTCTTTGGGCTCTCCAAAACATTTGGGTGTTTCTTTCCCTGAGAGTTTTGCTTGGTAAGCTGCCATGCCCTGGCACAGTGCTTGCTGTCATGTACTGTCAGGTGTGCTGCAGGCAGACATGCTGTCATGCTTCTCAGAGATGGAGGCAAAAGAGATGAAAAGCCAGCAGTTTTCTTGAGATTCCAGTCTGTCCCACTAGGACCTGAGATGTTATTCTGAAGCTCTGCTGGACATAAGCTACATGCCAGTCCAGGCCATGGGAGATCAGAGAGAAGGATGTCTTTATTTTAGAGCACAGATCTTAATTTTCTTTCTGCAAGAAGTTCTGTCTGGGCAGATTTCCACAATAAAGGAAAAAAAAAATTATCATAGCAAGAGAATGTCTGTGGGAATGCTTAATCAGTGAATGTGGAAGGGTCACTTTTTAGCTGACCAGGGAAGGCTGCAGAGCAGTGGCAGAGCTGTTGGGAACAAGGCCAAAATTAGAGCTCAAAGCATCAGTGACAGTCTGAAAAGAAGTGTTTACAAGGCTTATATATTTTATAACCTCTTGTTGTGCAGTTTATGGTTTACAATGGCTGCAAGGAAATTGGATCAGTTTTGTTTTACTTGCCAAATAAAGCAAATGTCAAAATAGTCAATATAAAATGTATTCTAATTTGGCTGAGTTAAACCAGCCAGTATGCAGTGGAATAATTGAATGTTACATTAATGCCTTGTAGTAAAACCCACCTGTCTGTAGCCAGCTCCACTCTCACACCCCATGTGTGATTTACAGGTAACTTTTACACCACCAGCCTGATCATTCAAAGCATCTTTCATGTCTGTTTTTTTTACTCTGGTTATTTATTATCCAATATATTTTTCAAGAAATAGAAATGTATATAAAGGTGCATCCTGCAAATATTTAATTATTGCAGGGAACACAGACAACTTGAAGGCCTCTTCTAACACTGTCAGCAATGTGGAGAGTTACTCAACACAGTGTTTGTGAAAGACTGTAGTCACAAGCGATCCCTTGTTTTCATGTCACCATAGAGAGAGGAGGTTACACGGGCAGCCAGTTTGCAGTTTTATTCCATGTGGATATATCCTGACAGGAATAGCAGTGATTGTCCTGGAGCTGCCTCAGCAGTGAGGAAGCATTGGTGAGCAGTGCTGCACGGAATACTGTGGAGGGTCTGCTGTTGGGCTGGTCAGGTATCTCAGCTGCTCTCTTCAGCTGTGTCTGCATTACAGAATAATTCTGAGTCAAGAGGAACCTTCAGAACAATTGCTAATGCTGGATATAAACTAAACCCCTATGTACAACTAAACCTAAAATGGAAGGACTTTTTACTGTGGGATATACTTTTTTCTGCACTAGCCCCTCTGCTCTGTGGTGTAAGGTGCTGATGCAGGGGATGGTGGCCCATCACAGAGTTGTCATGTATCAGAGGTGTGACCTCCACAGGTTGGTGCACATCAGCAGTGCTGCGTCTGCCACTTATGTCACAGGCTTAAGGCTCACAGTTAGGGCTGCACAAGGGGAGGCTTTGTTTCGTAGTTGTTCTGGACTTTTCAAATGGTGTTTTTCAGCCATTTGTTCTTCTCCTTTGTGTTTTCTTCTACGGGCACCTGGCTTAGTGGCCTCCACCAGCAGCCCTGGCACGTCCCAGTGAGGGTGGCATACTGTGCAGTGGAGCATGGCCGTGCCATTGTGCAGGTCATCAAGGTGCTTTACTGGCTTTTCTCTCCAACTCCTGGAACAGCTTCTTGGCACTAATAGCAGTCTGAAGAAACGCTCTTGCAGGTTCCCATCGTGCGGGTGAAGGATGGCTTTTGTAGGCTTGAGTTACGTGAGGGAGCTTAATGTAACTTTCAGTGCCTCTGCGCTGTGCACCAGGCTTGTGCTGCATGGCAGCATCATTGTGGGGAGCAGGGAGGTAACACCACCACAGAGGAGGTGGTGGTACAGGTACCTCATCTGTCCTTTGGTACACTCTGCTTCACCCAGCCTGTGCATCCACGATTGCCAGTTTGTTTGATCATGGTCTTGGGGCTCAGCTCTGCCTTGCCTCAGACTCTGTTGGATTTGTGGGTGACATTCTCCTCTTGGAGTCAAGTCCCTGACTGCTGTGAGTACACACAGAGCCATTCTGCCTTGCAGCTGCTCCATCCCCACTGTGGTGCTCCGTGAGCCCAGCTGGCTTCTGTGGCTTGGGAGCACGTTCGCATCCCTTCTCGAGGTGCAGCAGGAGCTGTGCACTGTCACTCAAACAGCCCGCTCAGAGTTTGTCAGCTGCAAGCAGGATGTCAGTCAGTGCTGTCGGAGTGTGTTTTACAGTGACAGACATAATTGCACTTAACTTTTTGTGTGGATGTTATCAATCTGTGACGGATACTTTGGGGAGAGGAGCACTCTGATTGCAGATGATGTGTCACAGGCATTTAATCTTCCTCTTGGAGAGACCGGGATTCCAGTCACAACTTTCACTTGTTGATGTGAGGTTTTGGGAACGTAGGTTCGCACTGACCCTGGAGCTGTTCAGTCATTTGGTTTGCGAGGCTGTCATCCAGCAGGTTGATGATTTACCTGGAGAGGGAAGATCTGGCTGCAATGCACTTGCATTCCTGGGATGTTCTAGTGCAGCAGTGGGTGTGCAGGTTCAGAAGGGCAGAGCTCCTCCAGCTGCCTTCCTGGGATGTCTGGCAGCGGTGCTCTGTCCCACCCTGGCAGCAGCTCCTGCATGGCCCCAGGGCCCCGTGCCAGCCAGTGCCAGGGAGGTGCTGGTCCCTCTGTGCCCCAGCCCGGCACGATGGCCGGGACAGGGCGGCGTGTGCTCCTGTCCCTGGTCCTGCCCGTCCTGGGCCAGGCCCTGCAGAGCAGCTGTGCCACGCCAGACCCGGGGCCAGCCTGTGGCTGCCGTGCTGGGGCTCTGACCTGACCTGTGCAGCTGAAAACCAGCAGAAACAGCTTGCTTTTGTTGCAGCTCAGCCTGGCAGCTTGGGTCCTGCCTCCCTCCCTGCTTGGAGCAGGTCAGCGTGTGCTACCAAGTGCTCAGGGCTCTGAGCTCTGCCCTAGCAGAGCACTGCGCCAAGGAAGTGCAGCTCTGGCTTTGATACACAGGTAGCAGTTGCTCTACCTAAACACCTGGAGTAAGAGCAAGATGCTTGAATTTTCCTTCTGAGCTCCCAGTTACCTTTTCACTAGTTAAGCTGGCCCCTCCTTAGGAAAAGGAAACAATTTGTTCCTGTTCTCTGCTCCCGGTGGAGTTTCATGTTGAGGAATGTAGGAATTTCTTTGCTAGGCAGAGAAGTCTGATTTTTCAAATTGATTTATTAACAGGGTTTGAAATTGGTGGTGTAAGCTTGGGAAGGGATCAGTCTGTGGTTTTGTGCTGCAGGCTGATGATGTGCAATCGAGGCAGGTCATAAAGCAACACCAACAAGCCAGTGTGGAGACGCAGGCTGGGGCTGGGATGCACCAGCCTGACTCTGCAGTGTGGTAATGGAAGGGAAGTCTTCTGCCTTTCCTATTTTTTAAGTAGCTACCCTATTATTTAAAAATAGCTATAATAATTTATTTAAGTCATTTAAAATAGATTTTTATGAAGCATCTGTAAGGGAAAAGGTTCCAGGGCTTCAGTGCTGTCGTGCTGTGTTGTAGAGGGAAGCCAGAGGCTGAGAAAGCTGTCGTTGCACAGGGGCAGCCACTGCTGGTGGTGTGAGGGGCAGAATGCCTCCACAGGGCAGTGGGGGTCTGCCTTAAGCCCCTCATCTGAACCAAATGCTGCCACATAA